ACTTACAAGAACAGAAAGAAGAGTGATCATTGGTCTTCATTTCTAGGCCCCTCGGAAGCGACCTCCGATCCTCTGGATGATCGTTAGCCTCTGGATCGTCCACCCGATCTTCGGGAATGTTCGGTTGATCATCTTCCGGAGGAGGCTCCTGTTCCTCCTACTACTTGGCCTCTTCAGGCTGAAGCATGGAGACAAGAATGGACTAGTACTCGTCTGGAATATCTGAGTTCCTTGGCTGCAAGCTGTAAATAGCCTATATCGCTCAATGAGTAGCCCTCGGTCAATGAAGCAACTCGCCCTTAAGACAGCTCGAGGTCTGCCTCTATCGCCCTTTTCCGCTTCTTAGAATTCTCCCACAACTAAGACTGATTCTCCTTCGCCGCCCTCGCATGATCGGTGCTCACCTTCAGCTCTTTCTCTCTCTCTCTCGCTCAGCTTCTTGATGAGTCTTGCCATCTTTCGTTAGAGCTCCTTGTTGTCCCTATCTCTCTTTTTGAGTTCGACAAAAGTTGGTAGCCCAAAATGTAGAATCCCTCTCTGCCAAGTACTAATCTGCCTAGATGCGAGTCGCTTTAGCCCCTACATCCATGGCCACGAGGTCCTGCTTTAGCTTGACATTCTCCTCCTTCAGCTTGTGGTGAAAGTTGGTAGCCCGAAGGGTAGAATCCCTCTCTGCCAAGTACTGATCTACCTGGATGCAAGTAGCTTTAGCCTCTACATCTATGGCCGCGAGGTTCTGCTTTAGCTTGGCATTCTCCTCCTTCAGCTCATAGAGCTTGCCGACATAGTCCATATCGATCTTCTGTTGGGCCACAGTAAGGGCGAGTAGGGACTGCATGGGAAAAAAGACAAAAGTTAGTTTTCTTTTCTCAAAATCATAAAAAGCTAAGAAAGTTCTCGAAGGAAACATGCCGTTTTACCTGATTGTGCAATTGGAGCGTAGTAGCCATTAGGTTGGTAGGTCGAGAAGCCATGAACTCTTAGAAGGTCGTGGCAAGCTGGCATTCTAGTAGGGAGTACATTACCGATTGCAAGTGCTTCGGCAATTGCCCTAGGGAATCCAACACGAATGGGTTTGGTCTTGAGGGGGCAAGTACATCCTCGACCTGTTGCTTGCTCGCTCTCTTCTGGGCAGCCGTGGTCGCTCCCACTCCCTTGCGTGAGCTCCCAGGGGTCGCCAAAGTGCTAAAGGGCCTATTGGGGGCACTCCCGAGTAGGTGACGGGGTAGGGCTGAGTTCTTTCCAATAGCACCTCGAAGCCCTCTAGCTCTGACTTCGTTTCCTCCTCGGCTGTCAGTTGTTTCATCTTCTTGGTCTTATTGCCTATGACTTTTTGTTTCGTGGCTTGAGCAGCCATGGACCGAGGAGCTTCTTTGCGTAGCTCCGTGGGTGGTTGCCTTTCGACACCAATCTGTATCCCTCATGTGGGGATGACATCGGAGGTTAATTTAGCTAGCTTAGTCATGTTGACAAACCCCCCAACCTTTGTCGGTGACTTCAGAACCCTTGGTGGTATGGTCACTAAACGCTATGAAAATGTGTTAAAAAAGGGTCATCTTTGGTACAAGGCTAAAAGTTCTTCTAGATACGAAAATACTTACGGGCTGGAGCTTCCAAAGATGCCTCGGGGTTAAAAAATTCGTACTTTCGCAGGTTGGCAGTGGTTACGAGCAGTCTTACGTCGCGACTCTGATCGGGTAAACAACCAAATACCTCGATACGGCTGAAATCTGCTAGAGCCGACAACTTGGTCGTCTTGTTCTCTGCAAAAAAGAAAAATTTCGTTAGTCTTAACTACCAAAAGATAGTTAAAGAAAAGGATAGTCAGTTTGGAAAATAAAAGAAAAAAAACCTACTTGGCTCCCTAAATTTACAAACGCCATCGTACTCGAAGAAGAAATATTTAGTGTCATAAGCCTCAACGTTACTGGGGTAACCAAATATCTCTCCCTCAATTGTAGATCGCTTCGAGAGGTAGAAGGAATCATTGTCCTTGCTTTTCTTTAAGTAGTAAGCCCATGTGAGTTCCAATGCTATTAACTCGCTGAACTTGTGTTCGTGGCATGCGATATACATAGTAATCGCTATCATCTACGCATTGGGTGTCAGTTGGAATGGCGTAACCTCGAAGTGGTCGAGGATTGATCTAATAAAAGGGTGAAAAGGTATCGTCACATTGCATCTGAAGATTGCTTCTGAGATTGCAGCCATTCCCTCTAGAGGGTTCTGAGCGGTGTGCAACCTATGCTGGTAGACGTTTATGTTGATCGTAAACTACTCTACCACGTTTTGAGTCTCATCTATAGTGGCTGCTAATAGCACTGCCTATATGGGACCCGCGGAGGTGCTCGGGGACTGCAGCTTATTCCTACTGTTGCTCTCATCTCCAAAGTGTCCACTGCTATAAAAGTTTGAAAAGGTGTGACATGTAGAGGTGACCCAGTCTCGGTACACAGTGTTTCATACGATGACTTGAAAGAGTAAGAAAAACCCTAATTTTCCTCCGTTAGCCCCTAAAAACCCTAAACGTCCTTGAGAATGAGTTCTCAAGGATCTGTGCCCTAGTTTTTCGATTCTTAAGAGCGTTTCTTTTTTAACACTACCCAAGAATGTGTATCATATAAAGTTTACCAGGCGCTCAAACCGACCATTGCTATGAAAGAACTGAATTTTAACGGGAATGAAAAGAAAAAAGGGAAGAATTTTCCTTACCTCTTGGTTGCTGGGGATGAACGTTCTGTTGTAACGGCGAGTGTGCATCAACTGGAAGAAGGATGAACTGTTTTTTTTAGTGCTAAAACTCTGTTTTTTTCTCTGAAGATTTGAGTTCTATGAAAATCATGAAGTGGGCTTAGGGTTTTATAGGGAAGAAGGCGACATTTGGTTTCCTTTGCAATCGACGTTTGGGCGAGACGCGTTCTTGGCCGTTGGATGCGATCACGCGTCGCCAATCCTTGTGAAGAGTAACCTTCACTCTTCGTGAAAATCAATCGACGTTTTCCTTCGTTGGAGACAACAAACGTCGGCCCAGTTATCTTCATCGCATTAAATGCGCCCTCATCTGCATTTATTGCTATAAAAGAGAATATCGTTTCAACATAGCTTACATTTAATGCTCATGGCTGACATTTATTGTGCAAGACATGTCTATCAAATAAATCTTACTTTATTGACCAGGCCAACTGTCAAGCACAATGGATAACATCTAAAGAGGTCGTTCGAATGAAACACTCTTCTCTATGGATTAAGCTCGAAGCAAAGTGAATTTCGATTTTCGGCAAAAATATTCCAAGTGTTTTTAGGTTGCGAGCGATGGGCAAAGATCGAAGCATGTTGGTATAGCACTAAACAGGATCCGACCCTAGGTTGCTGAACCTTTAGGGGACAACCATCTCAAGTCGCTTGTGCAGTTCGCCATGTCCCACATCATGACCTCCACTTAGTTCGATGGTCGAGTAAAATCGTGAACTTTGTGTTATTTTTGCCATTCTCCACTTGCAGTTCAAGTAAGCGATCCTCTGGATGAGTCAAATCATGAAGTTCTCAAAGTTCAAGCCTTGAACCTTAAGAACTGGGGGGCTTCTGTTAAGCCTAAAAAATCAAGGTTGATGTAGGCTTATGTCAACAAGGACCAATTATAGTTCAAGAAGGCATTATGTCGTCCAGGCACTACCACGTCGTCTAAGGACAAAAGGAGTAAGGCTGTCATCAACTTGGCAAGTAAAGACCTAGCTAGTAAGTGGTTAGGAGTCACCCACCTGCCCAAGCCTTGTGCGATTTAAGGATATCTTCCGTGCAGCCATCCAATAGGAAGCAGGGTAGGAACTGTATGACATTTGCCAGCTAGCAGACCCATAATCATTACCTATAAACCTCTTACTTTAAATAGAGAGCTCCCCTCTCATTATTCTAATAACAAAAACCACTCACTCTCCCTCTCTGTATTTCTATTTCTCTGATCGGTACTTGTGACCTGATTGTAATCTTTTATTTATAAAAAAGATAGTGGACATAGGATTCACTTTGAGCATTCGAATCACTTTAAAAATCATCTCCCATTTATTTATTTCATTTTCCCATTCAGGTGCAATTTCTAAGTCCGCTTAACACTTTGCACGTGCGAATAATTGGTGTCCAAAATCAAGCATCAACAATTTTCATTTTGTTTCTTGCCATTTCTTGTCGACTCAAGTCCACGCGCACAATCAGAAACAAGCATGCCATTTGAAAGGAAAGAAGACTAACTCTGACCACAAAGATGTTATATCAATATAGGTGTCGTCCAAGTTCCAACCTTTGTGGAGACATGAACTCTCTCTCTCTCTCTCTCTATATATATATATATAACATATGAGGCGATGATAGACTGGCAAGGCCTTTGGTCCAAAGATGTTAGGTTTTAAGAGTATTAGTGAGGTTTTAGGGTTATGAGTGATGAGTTAAGGATTTTTTTTTTTTTTTTAATAACTGAGGTGTCTGGGTAAGTTTACGTGTACTTCGACTAATCCTCATAGAGAGTTATCTCACAACAACCCATCGTTACAATCCCCTAAGTAAATCATGGACAAAAGGGCTACCTTTGTGCCCAGTGGAGAATCAAACCTAGAATTGTGGGTTGGACCATTTGCAACCCCATTGATTCGCCCTTACCACTGGACTACCCATGGGTGGGTTATGAGTGATGAAATTTCCCAATAGCTCTAAGGGAGTTGATTAAAATGACAATAGTTACCATCTCAATGGAATTCTAAAGCTCACGAGGTGAGTGATTTTTGCCCATTTGTCATATTATCCTGTAATTAATGAGTCAAGAACTAAATTAATTGAGATAAACTGTAAATAGATATGTGAAGTTGTTATCAAAGTTATTAGAACGAAGGTGATATGCCTTGTCTCTAATAATAGTAGACTTCTTAGTCATCTTCAATTGGCTCAAGGTAAAGTAAGTAGCTACTGCCTAGGACCCATGACCATGATTGGGTTCCTATAAATTTTGTACATTTTGCATAAAAAGTCTCCTGTTCCACAATCGTATAGCCCACCCAGAGAAAATAAATCTAATTACACAAGATTTGAGATATTGAAACAACTAAACATCCATATCAAATTTCGGAGCTTTGAATGGCAGTAATTTTAGCTCTTGTTTTAACTTCAAAACTCATGAGAAATGCATTTATGTAAAAGAAGATAAGCTGTTAAATTGCTATCTTTTAATCCGAACTAAAATAATAAACTCAATATATCACATCAGTAGCATGTTATTCATCATCCTTGTATGGGTACTCTTCCGGAACTTGCTTCACGAGTTTAACCTGAAGCTCGTATGCATCATCCCCTCGAAGCACATCGCGGATCCAAGTGACTTCAGTCTTCAGTGACACCTGGAGTGTTTAGAAATTCAGACCACAATTTTCACAGGGAAGAGAGGAAACTGAAGAAGAAACAAAAATACGGGCAAGAGCACCGTCCAAATTCCTCAATGCGACAACACTAAAGATGCTCAGAACACCACAAAGAGTTGCAATGCAAATACCACCATTTCCTGGATTACGTTGAAAAACAAATGGACCATTCCTCTAGTAACTCAACTCAATTACACCTCATTCCTTTGTCAGAAGAATTGATTATTTCATAGAATCTATATTTTATAAAAGCAAGATATTCCAACACACACACACACACACACACACACACAAAAGATCCTAAGATAGAAACTTATGATATAGAAAATACTCAATAAAGTAGTCATTATAGTAAGAAACATATATACTTTTTCATCTGAAATTTTCACATACAGGGGAGGGACTGTAGCAAAGATATGTCTACAGTAACACACAAAACAAAGTCATACAAGAGGTTTAGAAGTTAGCAATATTCACTACCATGATAACAAAGAGGTTTAAAACAGTAGCATCTTAAAACAGAGGAACTTGCATTTCCATAAAAGGAGTCACGGTCAGCCATGTTGAATTCACCCATCAGCAACATCTTTCTTAGCATATAAAAAGAAATTTTCATAATTACAAGTGCTTCACTTTTCAACTAAGTTTATATAATAAGCTCCATCAATGGACCGGCTCATTTAAGCATTGGTGAAATCTTAACTCTTCACAATAAAACAAATATGAATTGTATCAGGCATGTGGGAGACAGAGAATAGAACACCAAAAGAAAATAAAGCAGTGAGAGACATCCCATAAAAAGGAAGGTATTGAAGGCTGTGCAAAAGAAGAGGTGTTACTCACCATCTCTAGGGCTCCTCTAATGACTCCACTCAAGATGTTGCAATAGTAAAGACCTTGACAGGTATCAGGGAGCTCAACGAAATCCACTAAGGGATTATCTTCCAAAACTATACTGCAGCATGTCCCATCAGCATCCCAGTTGGTCACTGATGCAGTAACCCCTAAGAACATTTTGAAACCCACCTGTACAGAAGCTTTATGAGGTCATAAATTGAGCCTACTTTATGCTTAGAAGAAGAAATTGAGATAGTACATCAACTGCAACCATACAAACATGACTCAGTAAATATTATCAAACCCTTAAACACAAGAAGTATATTTCACTTTTAAAAGCTCAGCTTTTTGGATGAAAACACACCAGCCAAAACCAGCATAAAAGCCATAATATACATGTTGAAAAGAAGCTAAGTACAAGCAGCAGAACCACATAACTATTGGACATCTGTTTAAAGCTGCAAACCAGTCTGGATCAATTAGCTTGGCGACCAGACCAAATCCAAATAGCATGATTCAACAGCTTTCAGAAGAGCAGTAAACCTAGCACCTGAACTGTTCTACTGTAGCCCTAATATAGCAAATTCAAAGACTAACTACATCACAATCAGATTTCAATACTTCTGGGAGCTTCCAGTCATGAGTTCATCACTATATATAGGTCTCTTAAAGCATTACTAACAGAATGCCCACATAATCAAAGTGATCCCAGTCAAATAGGTTCCAACAGTATTTAAGAGATTATGTGTTGATAGGAACTCACTCCAATAACTCAACAATTTGGGTTGGGCCATGGGTCTTTCATGGGTTTGGGTAAAACTCTCCTTGGAAAACCGGCTTGCCAAGGGAGGGTGCCCAAGCCTTTATAACCCACATGCCCACCCTTTTCCCTTTCAATGTGGGATCCTAACATTCCACCACGCTTCCGCAACCGACGTCCACGTCGACCTCTTTACCCCCGTCGACCTCTTTACCCCCGTCGACCTCTTTACCCCTTGGGTGATTATGCAGATCCCCTTTCCCTCGGACCTCCATGCCCTTTCTGGGGTAGCAGCCCGGGCCCAAGGTCAGCCTGCCACGCGTGCGCTGCTACATAGGCGCAGGATCATGCTCTGATACCAATTGATAGGAACTCACTCCAATAACTCAACAATTTGGGTTGGGCCATGAGTCTTTCATGGGCTTGGGTAGAACTCTCTTTGGAAAACCGGCTTGCCAAGGGAGGGTACCCAAGCCTTTATAACCCACATGCCCACCCTTTTCCCTTTCAATGTGGGATCCTAACATGTGTCAACTGTTTAATATATCGCATGGAGATGCATCCTAGATCTTTAAATACACGCACTTACAGGGAGTCATATTTTTAGCTTCTGTTCACAGTTGGCCAAAATTTCAAGCTGAAAATAAAGAACTTAACTTGAATCTTATGTCAGCAAGTATCCAACAGCGACAGAGCAGAACAAAATTGAAGCCACCATAATTTTAATCTGTCATATTTTAGTAGGCAGCATTTATGAAGATCAAACTCATTTAACTGAGTTGAGGCGAAGCTCAACAACACACCTTTATATGTCAGTATATTGTGAATTCAATGAAGCATAATTATGCATGCATCATCAAAGACAGAGATCAATACACATCATTCACTCAATATACCCATGGACAGACTTGGCTGTGTGCTAGTTTTATTAGTCCGGAGCCAACATATATTGTTGATAGTAGTAACAGTTAATGGAATGTGGGAAAAAGAAAAAGAAAGTTATGAACTGATATGTTAAAGCTATATTTGTAAGTAAGGACATTAACAAATTCTGGAACAAAAAGCATGACTTTTTTTTAATTAACGTTAAACCAAGTTACTAAAGTAGACCTTAGCAATCACTTCAGCAGTCTCTTTGAAGTCTATGCATCTGGAGACATTAGATTTTGCCAGAAACTCGTCAACCAGTCGAATTCCAATATTGTAGCCCCTGCAATGTAATCAAATTCAAATGACAACAGCCAGAAATTCACATTGTTCAATCATCTAATACCAGAGATTCCATCAGAGATTACAGCAGAAACACTTAGACCAGTCAGCAGAATAAGATGATTCATCTTAATTCAAAAGTGGACTCAAGACAAAAATTTACGATGTCACACGTCAGTCAAAGAAGTAACCTTGCCATATTAGTTTGATTTTTGAATGCTTATTCTTTTGAATTTTACTTTCAGATCAAATGCAACTGGCTCCCACATAACCAATTCCATCCAAACCAAACTTTTTTTTTTTTCTCCTTCAGGCAGTCTATCTTCAATTATAGTGCTTAATTCAGCTTCATAATTAGACTACTCATTTCGTATTTCCTTCTGCATAGTTTAATACACGATAGTTTACATTTTATGAATAAATAATCTCTTCAATCCTTCAACATCAATAGCTCACTTAACTTGAATTTCCAAAAAAAAAAAAAAAAAAAAAAAAGGTAAAAATGGAAGTAAATTGAGAAGCGTACATTTGATCGAGCTGTTTGTTAACTTCGTCGACCTCTTCCAGATCCGTGAGTAACTGACGCACGGTGGCGCCATAAGTTAAGGTAAAAAGCTCAGCATTCTACACAACGAATTTCAAAGAACGAACAATTCAATTCAACAAACCCAATTTCACAAATAAAAATTTTAGAGATTACACAGTAATTAAATCAAACGGTTACCACGCGTTCCATGTTGGCGAAGATAGCATCACCGGATCGAGGACCAACAGGCGCCATGTTAAGATCTAAACTGAAAACAAGAATTTTCCTTCAATTTGTTTAATGTTTTGTTTTTCAACTTTAAAAATAAATATTAAAATAAAGAGAACAAGTGAAGCTAAACAGAGGAAGTTACTCGCTTTCTTCTCTTCCTCTTATTTAGGTCGTTTTGATTGAATTCAACGGACTGAACTGATTCGCTTGCTCGTTTTCAATTAAATTCCTATCAATTTTAAAGTATTTTACTATTTCTTTCATTTATTTTATTTTCATTTACTCAGTTTAAATTCATTGTTTATTTTACTTCTTAATATATATATATAATTTGAATGATCGAGTGATTCGATAGAGATTCTTAGGTATATTATTTCAAAAGCTCTGAGTTCGAGTCTTACATCGATTGCTAAAAGGTTTCCATTTGACCTTTTACACAGACCGAATAGTTTCAAAATTTCGAAGATTAGTTTGAGATGTGTATAGGTTGGTTTAGACACACCTGATTATCAAACCAAAAAAAGAAAGAAAGAAAGTAAGTTCGAATCTCTCTTTAACTGCAATTAAAATTAACCACTGAAACTTTTACTCGGCCGATAGTACCAAGATCTTAGGGATTGATTTGAGATGTGTGTAAACTAACTCAGATACCCTCGATCATCGAAGAAAAAAAATATATAGAATTCTTTATTCACAAAATAAAGTAAAGGTCTATATATAATAATAAATCACAAATTTATTAAGTCCCCTAATGTTGTTTTATACGAATTAAACTTATATTTAATAATTTAAGATAAAATCTTAATAAATAATAAAAACGGGTTGAACAAACAAAGAGCTTTCATCCAATTTGAAAGGCACTACAAATTCTAACTTCAAGAGCCTCTAAATCCAGAATATCAAATCCATCATCAACATTGTTGAAGGCTAAAACATGTCATCAAGCTATAAACATACAAGTTTCTTCTGAATCAATCAAAATTTACATAGCTCATAGATACATGAATAGAACAAGAAAAATACTGAATCTCTTAGTGAAACTTCAGGAAGAAAACAGTCTGGAAAATAAGTAACCGTGACACCCCTGCACTGTATCAAGTAAAGGAGCCGTTTGGCAAGCTTCCTCCACAGGACGGTCTTTCCATTTCTTCAACATAGCTTCGGCAACAAAACCAATCTGATGCTGCAGTACGGCTGCACCAAGTGGTCCAACTAGATTCAATCTTGTAGCGGCGGAAATAGCATCCCTTGTTGTGACAAACATGTAAGCTTTCTGAGAAATTTCACTTTGCAACCCAAGAAGCCCACAAATAATCCCAAAAACAGGAGCATGGTGGGAAGTGAAAGTGCCAGAGCACAAAGAGATTTCCCTCATGCTTTTGAGAGATGGGATTTCTGTAAAAACAGCAGCAGCTACTCTCATAAGAGCCGACCCTTGTGCAATTGATGCCTTTCGACTTACTTCATTAGTTAAAGTTGCATCCAACATTCTGTCAAGTTTATGCCAGGTTTCTAAAGTCGGACTAACAGTTGCAGAGTACACAAAAGGAAGTAGTAAGCTCCCAGTATTCTCCAACACATGTATCACATGAGTTCGAAGATCATCAGGAGATGAAATAATGCGGGCTTGAACGGCAGCCTCAATACCAAATGAATGAGCAAACCCTCCTGTGGGGAGAATGGAATCAAGGAGTTGCCATTCACTCCAGTGTAAGTCAAATTCAGCAGATCTTGGTCTTTTGCTCCCACAGCTTATTTTCATCTGATCATCCTCCATAGGAGCATGAAGATCCTATGGCAATGATAAATAACGAGCAGATACAAGTAATGAGCAAATCAACATTCTGCAAAAAATGTTACCATAAAATCGTCAACCAAAACAAAGGGGTAATAATTACATATCTACAATTCATAAACAACTAGATGTAGAGTAACTATAGTTTGAATTAACACCTTCTCTCTGAAGGGCTGACGGATGATTAAAAATGTTTCTGAATCATTCAGATTGGAAGTTAATAAACTTCAGACCTTAGAATCCACAACAAAGCGATATCACCATTCATTACAAAGATACATATCACATAACATACCACAAATTGAATATATGAATACCGTAACGCAAAATTTCTTCTTTATTAAGGTTTAATCTAATTCAATCTCGAGAAAACTAGCAATAGACCTTAAATTTTGAATGTTATACAAAAATGCAAAGTGCTTATCAACTTACCTAATGAAATTCAATTGAGTTGTATTTCTGTTTTTTGTAAGTATTCAATGGGTACAATTGTTTGTTATTTTCTAGCTTCATTTTATTTTTAAAGAAAAAAAATCATGCATTTGGGAGATGAGGTTTTTGGCCTTGGTTTTACAATCAAAACATCAGAAACACACATGATCATCTCAATTACATACAAAATTATTCACCACAACCAATAAAGCCTTGAAATTTATTCAACAACAAAACTGCTAACCAGCTCAAAACAATTAATTTCATCTCATATCAAACATTAAAAAAAATCAAAATTTAAATAATTACAGTAATCCAAACACAGCCCATAATTTTTTATCTCTTCTCCACTTCCACATGCAAGGCTTCTCAATAATTGCATTAAGAAACAACAAAGCTGAACAATAGAACAAACTTCTCTGATATCTCAAAAGCCAAATCCACGTAAACAAGTTGCAGCTTAATTAACTTTTGAACACAATATTACCTTTTTGCTGCTTCCACATCAATTTGGTGGCGTTGGGATTGGTAGGCAGAAGTGAGGATGCATCAATAAGTTGTTGGGGTTTCTTACATCAGTAGTTGAGGAGTCGATTTGTGGTGGCGCCGTCGTTGATGGTGGAAACGTGTGTTTCGTTTACTGAGATTTTGGACGTGCGAGGCGAAGTACCGGAGGTACTGTGGTGGCCAAATTAGGTTAATTCTGCGGCTTTCTTCTCGACGAATCCGACTGGACTGTTGCTGTCGCCGGCGGTAACAGTGTGGAGTAGGCGAAATGGATTTGTGACTTGGTATAACAGAGAGACATTGTCAGCAATGTTAAATGACTGAACGCATGTTAAGGTCAGGTCAAGGATATACTTGCTATTTTTTGAAAGATCTGTCCTTGATAAAAAGACAGGACCAATATATTCAGAAGTTATGTCGTATTGGACGTTTGAATATAGGGCAAAATGGTAACTGGATTCAGCCCAGCCATAGGAGGGTTTTTGTAGAGTGGATGCTGGTGAATCGAATGGTGGTGATCGATTGAATATTCGTTGTTAAAATTAACCGAAAATCATCTAAAAACAGAAAACCCTAATTTTGCAATAACCGACAATCGACGAGAAATCAAGTACTGTACTGAGAAAGGTTTTGTAGAAAGGAGATCGAAGGTTCAAATAGTGACAACGGAGAAATTTTTTTCCAATGGAATTGACTTTGGAAAGTAGCAGAATATTAACTTTGGGTGGGAAAGTGATAATTTAAAACTTTTTGGGTGAAAAGGAATTAAGGCAAACCTTGGATGGGAAAAAGTCGTTTCCTCTTTTTTGATTTTTGGTTAGAAAGATTTGTGACAAGTTTTAAAAAAATTAAAAGTTTTGTTATTAATCAATGTTCTGAAAACCAGACCGAACTATGACCCATTAAAGGGTCCGGTTTTTGATTTGACCGGTTTGACAGATTGGATAGGTCAGTTGGACTGTATTCTATAAAATTTTTTTAGTCCCTAAAAGTTTGAAATTCATCAAAAACACCCCTATTAATACTCCCTTAAGGTTTGAAATTTGTCCAAAACACCCCTATCACGCGAAAAGACCGTTGATGGTGGCGGCAGCGACGATCGACGACCAATTGAGGTTTGGAATCATGGGGCTTTTGATGTACAGGTGCCAGCGAATCTAATGGTGGCGCTGGGGAGTTCCATCGGCGCGGTAACTCGCCGGAATCAACAAAAGAAATCCGACGGTTGCGTAAACTTTAGGTGGATGGTGAGTCACAAAGGCTGGACGACGACGACTGAAAATGGCTGGGTTTTGTCGTGGAGATGCCGTCCCATCTAATGGTCGTGTTTTTGCCCTCGAACGATGCCGGAATCCGACGAGATTTAGCTGCGATTGGACCGCGATTCGACACTATTCCAACTATCAAACCACAATCCAATCCAATTTAAATCAAAATAACAATTTTTTATATATACCAGACCGGATTTGCCGCAAGTTGTCGATCAAACTGGTCCAACAGGACAGTCCGATCCGATTTTCAGAACATTGTTATTAATTTTAGATCATCCAAATTTCTATGTATTTTAATTAAGGGATCTAGCACGTTACAAATTGTTTGGATTTAATTGATGATGGAAAATGAAAAACAAGAGAGGTGTACATTTTGGGGTCATCAAACATCTCCAGATAAATCATTGGTATAAAGCAATCTCTATGAAAATTAAGCAAATAATAAAACATTTCACTTTCTCAAATTACATCAAAGAATGTGGAAGCATGTACTTCAAGTTACATGGTGTACATTACAATTGTCATTCGACATGGCAAGAACTCAGGTTTGCTTGATCAAAAAAGGATGAGCAATCAAAGAGAATCTAGGTTTTCTAAATTGGACCTCAAATAGGTAACAGGAATAGGAGCAGCAGATCCGAGAAGGGTCGGAAAAGTATACGGAAGGAAAGCATATATCATATTTGTACAATGTAGTCGGCTGAGCTGCTAAGCGCCCTTGTGGTTAACCCAGGGCTTGATCACGGCAACCACTATGATTGCAACAATGATGAGAAGAATGATAATGGCAATGCACATCCACTTCCTGGAACTCTTCTGTAACTTCTTTGCCTTTTGGAGTGCAGTGTTTCCTGATTGCACATGATCTACTGCACTGGACACCTAAAAACAGGGAAGACGGACATGAAACGGGGAAATTAATACCACCCCCAGGATACATATTTATATATATCCAATGTTAAAGTTTTCAACACTAATTTATTCCGATGCAGATATTCTGATATGAATATTATTATATTTTCCATTGACAATGTGTTCTCATGCAGAGATTTTTCTGATGTGGACATTACTATATTTTTTCTTTGTCAATGTGTACTCGTGCAGAGATTTTTCTGCAATGGACGTCATTATGTTTTTCATTGTCAATGTGTACTCATGCAGAGATCTTGTATCAAGCACGATTATTTCTCCATTTTTTAAGCATACAAGGAGAGTAGTTAAATTTACCTGAGATTCTATGTTGTCAATCATGTCTCCCTGTGCATCCACCAATACAGCCATATCCAGAAAGATCTGCATAAGACAAGTGATTTAAATATAGAATCAAAATATATTCTTTCTTTCGGCCGTTCAGATTTCAAAGTCATTGATGGCAGACCATGCCTCTTTTAAGACTGTTTGGCTGCTCTCATCCATCAGGTTGGGCCAATCAAATTACGTGAATAGAAAGCTATCAGGCTGGACTAAGTGAAATTGTTAGGACTGTATCGGTTTCCACTGGAAATGTGGCAACACTACCCAACATTTGCCTACTTCTGCTGCACAACCCAGATATTCCTAAATGCCGAGTTTGTGCGCAACACTTGAAAGTCCAATGGGAAAAGCACACTACCTTTACTACCATTTAAACCACTAAAGGAGCATTTGAATCATATAATGTTTTATTATAGGGATATATTATATTAACAGAAAAAAAGATCACCTTGAAGATTATTGGAAATGTTTATAATATGTTTAATTGGTTCGAATAAATTGGTGAATAATATGTTTGATTGGAAGGATAAATGGATTGGTATGTTATATATATTACTAAATTGCCTTTATTTTTAAATATTAATACAATAGTATTTTTTATTATTATTTTTTAAATTGTCGTTTAGCCCTCTACATTTGAAAATTTGCTAACACATCCCAGCCATTAAAACTTTAATTTATAGCAAAATCACCCCCACCCACCCCAAGCCACTGCTGGCAGCTAGACACCACAACCCGTTACCATTGGCAGTCAACGAAATTGTGCATAACTGGCCGTATATGACTGACCGTACACCGGCAAAGCCGAAAATAGTCATGGATCATAAATCCATGTTCGAAAAACGGCTAGATCTATAGCCATTTCACGGCCACATCTTTGGCAAGGAAACAGCCATAGAAATGTCAGATCTGGCCGTTTTCAGCCTTGGATCTGTAATCCATAACTGGAAAAGGCCTTATCGGCACACGACCGGCCAGATCCCGCGGTCGTGCACCATTACAACGACTGGTGCCAACGGTGGTGAGTCACACTGATAGTGGTCTTGGGAGGCTGGGGGGTATTTTTGTTAGCTTCTAAATTTTTTTGTGGTTGAGGTGTTTTAGCTAATTTCTCAAATGTAGGGGGGGTTGGGTAATTGTTATTTGGTAGACATTTGAGGACAATTGTGTCTAAAATGCTTTTTAATTAAGGGCAAAATGGGAAAAAAAAATCATATTATCCTAATAATGTTTTAATAACACCCTTTTGCAAGGTAATATGATTACCCCCCACATTACCAACAGTAATCCCTATTTGCAATAAAAGATTACCGTAATATTTTATTACTTGCATACCAAACACAGGAATCTTGCAAAATAAATGAATATTACCTTATTTACCCCGACAAACGGCCCTAAAGGATAACTTTAATTGCTATTGGCAAAATAGTCCCAAAGGTTTAATTTAATTTTCTTGATAAACAAAATTCCACACTGCAATAAATTAATGAAATACCTGTTGTAACTCAAGAAGCTTCCTTTCCAAATCCCTAACAGCATCATGGCGCTCTTGAATTTCGCCAGGGTGTCCTTATCTGCAAAAAACCATATATCGATTATTAATATCCATGAATACTCCCAAGAAGTACCCAAAAATATCATTCCCATCCGCCGATCCACCCCAATCTCCAACCAACAAAAAAACGGTTTGACAAAGGAAGAACAAACGCTTTTGACAAAAAGTATGGTAGTAGAAATAAAGAAAGACAAACCTGGCCCCGCCCTTGTTCCTGGTTGCCTTCTGGAATATTTGTTCACTGTCTCCAGTCTCAATCAATTGTCAATTGTCTGTACATTGTTCAATAGTGAGATATGAGTTACAAGAAGCCAGATTACTTAGAATTCTGGGAAGTAATTTTACCTCTTCATCCGCAGTTGCGCCAGTTACTGAACCATTCAAATCAGAAACACAAACAATTAGCTGCATAGTGGAAGGCCAGAGCATTGTATTCAGTATATAAACCATTAATAATAAAGGGCTGGGTTCAAACCTGTATAAACACGCCTCTCTCAACACCTCTCGGTACTCTTGATGGAGGTTTCCTTAGAACCTGCAAAAATAAAAAAATATTAAGGAACTGTATTGAAAGATTCAAAACACCATAAGAGTTTATACCAAACTTCTTTTTAAAAAATTAAAAAACAAAGGAATCTTATCCGATTTATTTATATCTGAACTACCGAATTCTGCCCTTTATCTTTAACTTCTTTTCAACGCTCTACAACAAAAATAGGGTTACCAAGTCAGTCATGGTGGGTCTGACAGCTGAAACTCTATTATGCACCAAAATCAAAAAGTTGTTCAAACCATGTCCTCTCTCACGAGAGCATCAAATAGAATTTAAACTTCAGGACTTTACAGATGGTAGCTCTGGTGCATTTCTCTACCCATTGAATGTTCATGTCATTATCAATAGATCAAATCATTAAAGGACTCAAGAAATTTCAGAGAAGATATTGTTCACATAACAGTGTAGTGGTAAACAGTAAGGAAAGAAGAAATATAGAGAGGAAATGTAAATTACAGAGTTGTTGCAGTTCTTGATCTATCCACACCCGTTCTTTTCCACACCCAGGCTTCTGCCTATTGGCTAAATTCTGGAACACATAAAAGAATGGACACATAAGCGATCCAAGAACTACAAATCATAGACAAAAGCAGCAAGTTTTCTTACCTCTCTATCCAGTTCTTCAATCTTCGACTTTAGAAAACGGCAATCTTTCCAACTTCATCAACATCTTTTCCATTCGCTTCTTGATTGCTAAGA